GAAGCGTGTCAGTCAGAGTTGGCGACCCTAAGGACTGGGCTCTAAAATTTAATGGCTACCAGTCAATGAAGGCAAACATGAAAATAGCATGACTAGAATGAAATAAAGAGGCAAACTATAGTGAAAATTCTCCTGCACGGTGCAGGGAGGAGAGATTTGAATCTTGAAGGCAGGTTAAGCTGCCAGCATGGACATGCTATGAGTTTGCATTTCCAATCTAAGTTAATGACTCCACACACTGACTCTAGCTGACTAAAACACTGATTTATTTTGGAAAGGTTGTCTTGTGCTATGGCAAGCCTCTGCTGGTTGCGTAATTCCCAAGAGGGTTAAATCTCCTACAGTAAGTGGATACAGCTGCAGGTACCACAGTGAGATAACAGAGGTGCTAAAGCGTAGTGTCAGTGGGGCAGAGCATTGTAAAAAGTGGGCATGTATTACCTATTACTCAAATAGATATGTCACACTAGCTGGAGTAATTCAGGACTGAGTGCCAGCCTCAGGGCAGACTGTCAAGAAGCAGGGCAGAGACCCCAAATTGTCTTGCATGTTCGATAATTAGATATAATTAAATATGAATTCCTGAAGCACTCTACAAAAGTCCTACCATAGAATTACAGTCTACTTGGGCATGCCAATCTATTCTGCTATCCAGGCAAACTGGATTTAGTATAGCTATTTGCCATACAGGAAGAAACGCAACATGTTCAGTTCCAAGAGACCTGTCACTTACCACAGGCCAATTTTTACCTTAGATCTCACACCAAAAACAACATTTGTAGCCAATCCTATAGCAAACTAAAGATTTATGAATTACAAAAAAAAAAAAAAAAAAAAAAAAAGAATAAGAGAGTGTTATTACAGGGGCAAAGGAGGCAAGCATATATACACAAATGGTTTACAGTCTATGGTTCTAAAAGGTGACAGAGATGCAATAATCTGTGAACTCGGAATATCTTCTAAGGCTAACTCAGGCTGACTCTGGGGATCTCTGCTTCTGTTTTGTATCTCCAGCCTTGTGAGAATCCAAACAGCAAAAGAAAAGATGAAAACTTTTCCTGTTAGCTATTCTTATTTCCTTCCAGAATTCAAGCAGATGGGAGAATCCCTTTTACATATAGCCTCTTCATGGGTGTGAAGGAGTAATTTACAAGGTCTTTGTATTGTGATGTCCCTTAATGGTCTCTTTAATTTTGATAGCCTTCCTTAGGAGCAGGAGATCATTCCTTCTGAGGGGTTCACAGTTTCAGAGCAAATAATTTTTACAGTTATAAAGCAAAAACCTTATAGCACATGATAAAGATATTGCAAGTGAAATTAATGCATGAAGCAACTGCATTTCATAAAGACTAAACATATTGTCAGAAGTTCATCTTTACCAAGCTAACACACAAGTGAAACATACTGTTTTCTAGCAATGAATGTGTCAATTCTCAGCTGAAGTCTATAGCCTTGGAAAAGGCTGGCACCTGGTTTTCCAGCGTTACACAGTACACTCTTGGAGAGACTGTATAATCATCAGGCTAGCTCATTCAGTGGATCCAAGACACACACACACTTATAGGCACAAGATGGGTGATACAATATCCTTCATTGGACCCACTTCTGTTGGTGAGAGAGACAAGCTTTCAAGCTAACACAAGATGTCTTTGAAAACTTGTCTCTATTACCAATAGAAGTTGGTCTACTAATATGTATTACTTCACCACCCTTAAGTACTATAATAGCCTGCGACCAACAGAGCTACAACAACACTGCATGCCTATATTAACAGACTATTCATATATTTCATTGTGTGATTTTTTTCAGGATATAACCCAATTCTAAACAGGCTAATATATATAATCACTATTTTCCCACATATTATGAAAACCTAAACTGAAATGGTTTGAAGTTCTTTATTGAGGAATGAAGTATCTCCAGTTCTACAGATAGTGCAAATCTGGTTCAAATGTCTCAGAATATGAGAGTCTTCCCCAGCCATGTCTCCCCAGGTTTGTCACCTTTCTTTTCCATCCTGGAGAATCCTTTGATAGTCTTTATACAAAGTTTTTGCCTCAAAGTCCCTCCAGATGACTTTTAATGAAGTAGGGGATGGTTTGACCCATTGTAAGATGAAAACTGTTGATGCAAACAAGATAATGAAACAGATTTTCTTCTGCTTATTGTTGGGACATGACATTAATAAAAGCCATTTCATAAGCAGTATGATTAGTAATAATTTGCATTTCTACAGTATGTTTAATCTAAGGCTTTCCAAGCACTTTGCAAATATTAATTAACCAACTCTCACTCATCCCTGGGCAGTTTATAAATATTGCAGATATGTTTTAAAGGGAAAGTGCAGGAACAGACATTTAGAGCAGTTTTGGGTCAGACATGAGTTAGTGGAAGAGTTTGAACTCTGAGTTTCCTAATGTATTCACTCATCCCACTGGGCCTGATTTCCCCATTGTGTTATTCCTGCTTTACAACAGAGTGATGGCTCTGAAGGGTCAGTGACAAGCTTGACACAGTGGATCCTCCAGACCCACTAATTTCCCCCCCCCCCGGGTGCTCTAGTCCCAGATTACCCAAAGAGTCAGCACCTCTGATTACCAGTATTTAGTGCCAGGATACTTTTAAGCCAATTGTGCACTGGGAGAAAAATTCCTTCCTGATCTTTGCAGACAACCATCTGCAGCCATGAATTATGAAATGTGGTTATAGCCCTTCTCTTAATGTAGAGCTGCAAGTGTTATAAGCATGCTGAGGGCAATGCATGGCCCATGAAAGAAGGGGTTGATTGTGGGGACTCAGAAGCTACATCTAGACTACAAAGAAAAATCGGAAAAAGATACACAAATTGCGAATCACAATTTGTGTATTTTTTCCGCTTTTCTTTCGAAAGAGGCTTTTCCAAAATGTGGCGTGTCTATACGGCACCAAATTTCAGAAAAACCTGCTTTTTTGAGCCATCCTTTCTTCACCATAAAACAAGGTTTGCAGGGATGGTGAAAGAACAGGTCCACTTTTCTAAAAATTTTTTTTTGAAAAACAGATGTGTTCTTGGATGCAGCATTGCTTTTCTGGGATACCAAAAGCACTGCAGTCCAGACATAGCCAGAATCACAGGTTACAAGATCAAAAGGAACCACCATAAATGAGTTCCACCTTTCTGCCTTCTTCCCCCAAACACACAGACTTTAGGGAATTTCTTACAGAAACTAGATTAGTCCTGGATTTTAAAAAGTCATCTAAAAAGTAAGGGTGTTTACTTGATCATTATTCAACATTACTCCTTTGCAGAGTCTTCATACTGAGATTATAGGATCTCTTCTATTTTCCATTGGAGGTAACCGTGCTAAACTTGTAAGTTGTTCATGCTTTTTCTCTGGCCCGTGTTATCCACTGTTCTTAGAAACGCCCTTTGTTAGGACTGTGGTTCCATTTTAGGGTAAAAATGCTGTGTTCCTTGTTTATGTCCCATTTGGGGTATCATTTTCAGGCCAGACTAGCCTTTTCTAAAACACAAAACAAAAACAAACAAAAAACGGTCACACTTTGGCACTCAACTGGAGAGATGAGAGAGAGAGAATGCAGCCAAGCATTGCTCACTCCATCCCCTACTAATAAATGCACAAGCATCCATGGTTGTTTTTTTTAATGGAACTGTTTCTATAAAACATCAGATAATTAGCATACACGCAGAGGAACTTTGCAGAATTTATTTTACAGAACTAGACTTAATAGTGTTACCAACTAGAGAGGAATGACTGCTCAGTGATTGCCATTTTCTCCAGATTTTTCTGGTTTCTCTGGTTGGTAAAAGATTTTAATTAAAGGAGTCCTCTGCAAAATCATGTCATAATCACAGCAACCACACTCATCCTCCCTGCATCTGCCAAGTACCTGTCTCACCTTTGAAAACTCCCCCATGGTTATCGTTAAAACATGACATTTCTATGTGCAGCATAATTCAGCTCCCAAGGAAATAAATTGGAAGACTCCCATTGATTTCACTGGGAACAGGATTAGGCCCTTTGGCATTAACATACATGTGCAGTTTACCTGAAAATTGTGGAATTATTTTTCCAACTCTTTAATATTATCTGCAGAGGAAATTGTTTTGTTTGTTTTTTCAAATTGCAACAATATCCAAGTCTTATTTCTTTTTTTTTCTTTCTTTCAGTCTTTCTTTATTCTCTTTAAAAACAATCACAATTTTCAACTCTGCAAAATTCCAAACACTATTTATTTTGTGCTTTATAAAAAGGCTTTCCATTTTTACAAAGAGTTTAGGGTCTTTAAATGTTTAATTTCAAAATAAGCATGAACCATGATTTTTTTTAAATAAAAAACAGCCTCCAAAATTGTTATGTACCAGAAATGTAGGATCACTGTACTATTCTCAGTTTACCACAAATCACCTGCAACAATCTACAGATTTTCCTTTTCTAGTGATGTTATTATTTTTCTGTCAGCAGAAGAATGTACTTTAGGTAAATAACAGATAAAAGAAATGAAAAAATAGACACCTGCTTTATATTCTTTTCTCCATTTCATGATCATTTATTAATAATTCTAGACACAATTCAAGAAAGAATTGCATACCAATTTTATTTGTTCTCTGTGGGGCTTATTTTGAAAATGCATAAAACACACTCTTTTAATGTCTTATATTCAATCACTGGCAAGTCAATTGAAACTATAATAATGTTCATACTTCACATGCACACTACAATACATATGTGACTAAATATTGTATGTGTTTGTTTATGTTTGAGTTAAAGCTGCTTATACTATAACTAAGGATGAATTCAATATTTTATTTTAACCAGCAGCCCTGTTTTTCGGAATGCTCATAATTTTTTCAAATTTGATTTTGAAATTTTTGAGTTATAAGTGTTCATCTGTTTTTGAACTGATTGAAAAAAACTCTTTCTTTCTTTCTTTCTTTCTTTCTTTCTTTCTTTCTTTCTTTCTTTCTTTCTTTCTTTCTTTCAACTCACATAAGTATAAAGTTCATTTCCTATATTTAAACATAAGTTAAAAATTGTAAATCAACTTTCTTGAAAGATAGCTACACTTGAAAGATTAATTAGGGCCTATCATTAGCTGGTATAAGAGACTGTAAGTTTATACCAATTTAGAATAACTAAGACCTAGTCTACATTGGGAGTTTAGGTTGAATTTAACCACATTAGGCTGATTTTCTAAACAATGGAAAGCCTGTTCCATTGATTTTAAAGGCCATTAAAGTTTTGGTACTCCTGCTTTTCATGAGGAGTATCAGTAAATGTAACCTTGCATGGTCGACTTCAGGATAGTGCAGCCACAGCACTATGAAAGTCAATGTTATTGGCCCCCTGCAGGTGTCTCACAGTGTCCTGCTATGACCACTCTGGCCAGGATTTTCAACTCTGCTGGTCTCCAGGTGACCAGGAAAAGCCCCAGAAAAGTTTGAATTTCATTTTCTATATAGCCAGTGTGGTGAGTGGACCTGAGAGCAGGCGGTAGGACAGCTCAGCATCATCCCTGACTATGAATGCCCAGGTTCGCAGATGGAGCATGAAGGAGATCCTGGATCTCATTGCTGTGTGGGGAGATGAATCAGTTCAGGCAAAATGATGAAGCAGTAAAATAAATGTTGATATCTATGCCAAGACTGCAAAATGCATGGTGGAAAAAGATATGCCAGGGATGCTCAGCAGCGCTGCATGGAAATAAAAGAGGTCAGGCGGAGGTACAAGAAGTCAAAGGAGGCAAATGGATGTTCTGAGTGCTTGCTGCAAACATGCCGATTCTATGAGCAAGTGCATAGGATTCAAGTTGGAGACCTGAGCCGTTTCCCAGGCCAGTCTCTGGATTCCTCTGAAGACACTCTTCAGTCTGCCTTGAGCAGTAGTGTGGAGGACAGTGTGGATGAGGAAGAGGATGATGATAAGAATGGTCAGCAGGCAAGTGGAACACCAGGAGCCGCTGCCCTGCCCTACTGCAATTCCCAGAGCCCCTCTCAGCTGCAGGCTCAAGCTCTGACCTTTCCCTTACCATGCCTGGCACCAACCTGAGTCAGCTGCTCCCTTAGGATCTCTGTGGTGTACCTGCTGTATGCACTTAAAAGCATACCTGGGGATTTGTACACAACACATCCCCATTGTCTTTGGGCAGACCTTCCTTTATGCTAAGAGATTAGATTTTATGCTCCACAATTTATCTCCTGTGAAGTCTGTCTTTCTCTTTTCATTACAGTGGGTATAGTAGCAAGTCTGCTGCACTCTCCCCTGGTCTGACTCATCCAGCTGCTGGGTAGCTCAAATCTGAAGGCAAAAATATACTTCGGATGACATGTTCAAGGAGCAAGTGCAATCCACCCACTTGGACAGGGAGCAATTAAGTGAGATGCCAGCAGAATGTGAGGACAAGAGATCATGCAGGGAATGCAAAGTAAAAACACATGAGAAAGTCTTGATGGTTGTGACAGGTGCTGACCTGCATGATGGACTCCCAGGACAGCCAGATGCACAGACACTCTCCCCTCCTCCTCCACGCCCCCCCCCCCCCACGTGTTCTTGTATGCCGGCAGCATCCACCAATGGCTTATCTCAAGTATGTTCATGGCTTCCTCAGATTCTTCCTTATTCCAGCAGGCCCTGGATATGCTCTGGACATGCTGCAGCATAAGGAGCAAGATGCTTAATATGATTGCCATAGTAGTATTTTGCTGTTGACTGTGTTCCATGCTGGTTTCCATGCTTAGCCTGCTACGACGTCTGGATAATCAGGGAAAAAAAGGGTGCAAAGATATTGTTTGCCATTGCTTTCAAGTGGAGGGGAGGGAGGAGATGTGTGCATTATGGGACACTGACAGCATGTACCCACAATCACCTGCTGCACTTTTTTGATCCTATCAGGCACTGGAAACTAACCCAGAATGCAAAGGGGTGGCAGGAATTGTGGGATAGCTACCCACAGTGCATCGCTATCAAAATTGATGGTAGCCACCCTACTGGGGATGCACTACATTGAACTTTTGCACACAGCAAGGATATGAATTTTTGACTTTACAAAATCAGGTGCTAGAAAATCAACCTTAGTAATTTTGACCTTATTTCTCAGTGTAGACAAAGTCTAAAAATATGGCCCAAGCAGTTTAGTGGATTTAATATTATAAATATTTAAAATTGACATATGCACCCTGAAATGGGAAAATTTTAAAAATCGCAATCTAAAAATTTCAAGATGGCCAAAAACTTAAGATGGCCATAGTTTTTCAGAAGGCCCAGATTTTAAAATAGCCAAAATTTAAAGTAGGCTACAGTCCCACAGTTTATGACAGCTGAATATTATAGATGGCCTAAAAGTTGACTGAGACCAAATTTTAAAATTGGCCAAAGTTTTAGATTGTCCAAAGGGGCACACAGGGTGGGCAGGATGGATGTCTGAGTCCCATCTGGTGGTCAGAGCAATGGTACAAGCACAGGACTAGAGATTCACTGGGTATGTAAATGGGTCACTTAGGCTGTGTCCAGACTCAGGGGTTTTTTCGGGAAAAGTAGCCTTTTTCCGAAAAAACTTCACCTGCATCTAGACTGCAGCCGCGTTCTTTCGAAATTAAATTGAAAGAACACGGCTTTTCTTTCAACGGCGGTAAACCTCATTTCACGAGGAAGAACGCCTTCTTTCGAAAGTGCTTCTTTCGAAAGAAGGCGTTCTTGAATGTAAATAGGGCTTCTTCGAAAGAGAGCATCCAGACTCACTGGGTGCTTTCTTTCAAAAAAGCGGCTTGCTCTTTCGAAAGTTCCGCGTGCAGTCTAGACGCTGTCTTTCGAAAGAGGCTTGCAGTCTAGACATAGCCTTAGCTTTTCATTGTGGGATTGGAGCAATGTAGGAGAATGCCAACAAGATTATTCTAACAGATCCTTTCTCGATGACAAGGAGCTCCCTCAGTTCATTGCTTCCATGCACATGAGGTCAATGAAAAGATTCTAAAAGTAACCTACTGATACTTATTCATATAAAACTCTCTCTTAAGTTTAAGGCCTGATATCTACTGGACCTTTCAATTAAAAAACAAGAGATGTGTTCCCTACTGTAAAGCTGGGAATCTCCTCTTTTCCCTTATAAACACACACACACAATATCAGGTCTTAAACCTGTCACTGGCTGAGGGTTGAATATTTCTTTACCTTGGCTTAAGATGTGTATTTCTGAGTGAAAATCTTCACATTTGGGATGTTTTCAAGCAAACAAACAGTTTTGTCTGGATTGATTTTTTAAAAATGGAAGCTATGAGATTTGAAATGTAGAAGGTAATCCTGGTAGAGTAAATGTAGCTGAAGCAGTCAAAGGTGCTTGACAAATTTATCATACAGTTCTGGTGTGGTTTTGTTGAATGCTAATGGTTTTTCTCCTCATTTTTTAGCACTAGCCAAAATCTAGAATACCAGAACTATTCTTTCTAAAAAGAAAGCACTTGGATCATTCTTCCAAGTGTATTAAAGAAATAGGACAAGACAAACTA